AGGAACTAGAGACCCCTAGAGCCCAGCTTTTATAAACCCATCTTCCTATGTTTCACTTATACAAATTCTTACTACTTTAAAAAAATGTAACCAGTCCAACAGATGCTATTTTTAAATGACTGTCTAATTATGATATGTCCCTCTGGTATTATTGGGGGGTTAATTAAAAGAACTTAATCTTATTTTAAGAATATATAATTGATGAAAATTTCTCTTGGGACACCAAGAGGCTAGACGGTCTTCTAGCAAAAGCACACATCAGCCTCAGTCTCAAGACAATTATGCAGTGTGGACTCATTACCAGTCAGCTCTCAGTTCAAAGGCAATTCTAGGAGAGTGTTTTAGTAAATCTAGAATCTAAAGGTTGTTCTTGGTGTCAAATGGGCTCCTACACTGACAAGACTTTATTTTATATTCTGGAAGAGATTCATAAATAGGAACCAGTGCTAAATGCAATGTTTCATTTTGTTTCAGTATTGTAGGATGTATATGCAATTTGTTACAGGTCTAAATAAGAAAAAAACATTTCCAGAAGCACCATCCTATAGCAATAAAATACTGTTTTAATCAAAAGCTTGGTTGTGCTACATGAAACAGAAGTATACAATACCATTCAGTGTGAAGGTTTAAGGGTGAATTCTTTAATTCTGTTGAAGGAGGAATTGGACGTGCAGCTACAAAAAAAAAAAAAAAAAAAAAAAAAAAAAAAAAAAAAAAAAAAAAAATNAGATAGTCCTAGTGGGGGAAAAAAGCAGCAAAACCATGGACTTTGTAGTGAAGCACACATTTTTCTATGACTACTTAGAAGAAAAGTTTCAAAGTCACATTGTAGAGCAAAGCACCAGAAAAACCCAGAGAAAAAACAATTCTATATCAAGCTGTAGACAAAGAAGAGTGTTTGACACTCACAACTTCATGTTACCATGACCCTCTAGGAAGCTCATGGGCAAGGACACTGCCTGATTCTGACCTGAACTAGAGGATACACATCTGTCCAGGACTACTGTGCTACTGCTACCTCTTACAAAGTGACCATTATTGAGATGATTAATTAGTTAATTAACCTAAAGGAACATTTTAGATAACTTAGATACGGGCATGAAAAATTTACTCTAGAAGATTTGACGAGAGAGATTATATCCCACTTTGCTGTTGCTGTTGTTGACTCGCTCAGTCATGTCTGACTTGCTGTGACCCCATGGGCTACAGCATGCCAGGCTTCCCTGACCTTCACTATCTCCCAGAGTTTGCTCAAATTCATGCCCAACAAGTTGATGATGCTATCTAACCATCGCATCCTCTGCCGACCCTTCTCCTTGTGCCTTCAATCTTTCCCAGCATCAGGGTCTTTTCCAACGAGTCAGCTCTTCACACCAGGTGGCTAAAGTATTGGAGCTTCAGCTTCAGCATCAGTCCTTCCAATGAATATTCAGGGTTGATTTCCTTTAGAATTAACTGGTTTGATCTCCTTGCTGTCCAAGGGGCTCTCAAGAGTCTTCTCTATCACCACAGTTTGAAAGCATCAATTCTTTGGCATTCAGCCTACTTTATGGTCCAAAACTCACATCCATACATGACTACTGGAAAAATCATAGCTTTGACTAGATGGACCTTTGGCAGCAAAATGATGTCTTTGCTCTTTAATATGCTGTCTAGGTTTGTCAAAGCTTTTCTTCCAAGAAGCAAGCATCTTTTAATTTCATGGCTGCAGTCAACATCAGCAGTGATTTTGGAGCCCAAGAAAACAAAATCTGTCACTGCTTTCACTTTTTCCCTTTCTATTTGCCATGAAGTGATGGGGCTAGATGCCATGGTCTTAGTTTTTTGAATGTTGAGTTTCAAGCCAGCTTTTTTACTCTCTTCTTTCATCCTCAAGAGGCTCTTTAGTTCCTCTTCACTTTCTGCCATCAGAGTGGCATCATCTGCATATCTGAGGTTGTTGATATTTCTCCTGGAAATCTTGATTCCAATTTGCAATTCATCCACCTGGCATTTCACATGATGTACTCTGCATATAAGTTAAATAAGCAGGGTGACAATATACAGCCTTGACGTACACCTTTCCCAATTTTGAACCATGTTCAAAACTGGACATTGTTCCATGTCCAGTTCTTAATCTTGCTTCTTGTTGCTGTTGTTCAGTTGCTCAGTTGTGTCTGACTCTTTTCGACCCCATGGACTGCAGCACACCAGGATTTCCTGTCTCTGCTTTTTAGTATGCTAAGTTTGTCATAGCTTTTCTTCCAACGAGCAAGCGTCTTTTAATTTCATGCCTTCTTGACCCACATACAGTTGCTTCTTGACCCGCGTACAGTTTTCTCAGGAAACAGGTAAGGTGGTCTGGTATCCTCATCTCTTTAAGAATTTTCTACAGTTTGTTGTGATACACACAAAGGCTTTCATGTAGTCAATAAAGCAGAAGCAGATATTTTCCTGGAATTTCCTTGCTTTCTCTATGATCCAACGAATGCTGGCAATTTGATCTCTGGTTCCTCTGCCTCTTCTAAATCCAGCTTGTTCATATGGAAGGTTTTGGTTCATATACTACTGAAGCCTAGCTTGAAGGATTCTGAGTATAACCTTTGTAGCATGTGAAAAGAGTACAATTGTGCAGCAGTTTGAATACTCTTTGGCATTGTCCTTCTTTGGGATTGGAATGAAAACTGACCTTTTCCAGTCCTGTGGCCATTGCTGAGTTTTCCAAATTTGCTGACATATTGAGTGTAGCATTTTCACAGCATCACCTTTTAGGATCTGAAATAGCTCAGCTGGAACCCATCACCTCCAATATCTTTGTTCATAGTAAAACTACCTAAGGCCTACTTGACTCCACACTCCAGGATGTCTGGCTGTAGGTGAGTGACCACAATATCGTGGTTATTTGGGTCATTAAGATCTTTTTTTAATAGTTCTTCTGTGTATTCTTGCCACCTCTTCTTAATCTCTTTTGCTTCCATTAGGTCCTTATGTTTTCTGTCCTTATTGTGCCCATCTATGCGTGAAATGTTCCCTTGATCTCTCCAATTCTCTCGAAGATATCTCTAGTCTTTTCCATTCTATTGTTTCCCTCTATTTATTGGCACTGTTCATTTAGGAAGGCCTTCTTGTCTCTCCTTGCTATTCTCTGGAATTCTGTATGCAGTTGGGTATATCTTTCCCTTTAGCCCTTATTTTTCACTTCTCTTCTTTCCTAGCTATTTGTAAAGCCTCCTCAGACAACCATTTTGCTTTCTTACATTTCTTTTTCTTTGGGATAGTTCTGTTCACTGCCTCCTGTACTATGTGCAAACTTCTGTTCATAGTTCTTCAGGCTCTCTGTCTACCAGGTCTAATCTCTTGAATGTATTTGTCACCTCTACTATATAATCATTAGGGATGTGATTTAGGCCATACATATCTGAATGGCCTAGTGGTTTTTCTCTACTTTTTTCAATTTAAGCCTGAATTTTGCAATAAGGAGCTGATGACCTGAGCTCCAGTCAGCTCCAGGTCTTGTTTTTCCTAACTGTATAGAGCTTCTCTATCTTCAGCTTCAAAGAATGTAATCAACCTGATTTTGGTATTGACCATTTGGTGATATCCATGTATAGAGTTGTCTTTTGCGTTGTTGGAAAAGGGTGTTTCCTATTACTAGAGTGTTCTCTTGACAAAACTCTGTTAGCCTTTGCCCTCTTCATTTTGTACTCTGAGACCAAACTTGCCTGTTACTCCAGCTATCTCTCGACCTCCTAAATATCCCATTTACCTAATACATAAAGGAACAAAGTAATGAACTCCCTTAATTGCTGTTTCCTTGTAAGATGTTACTAATATCCTATATTTTATCATGATACACACATTACCAGGTTATCTATATTTCTATATTAAAAATAAAATGCAGACAAACTTCCTGTGAAATGATCAGGGCTTAATACACTCTAAAATTGAAGGAAAGCTAATACTATTTCAATTGGATACATTTTAACAATTACAGAGATGGTTGATATCATAATATGAATCTTGAAGATCAAAATGTTTTAAAGATCAGTTCAAATATTGCTTAAAAATTTATCTTATTGCTAAACTTTGCTGATTGTTATAAAACAAGAATTATTGCACATAAATATTTTATAATTTGCATTTTATCTAATAAGTCACGCAAGATGGTTGGACATTCAGCCCATGTGCAATCAATATGAACCCAACAAACCTAGTTCTATGAACAATGTCTAAAAGCATAGTGCTTAATGAAATTTGGTTATTAGAATTTATATCAGGAAAGAAAATCTGTAGTAGTTTATTGATTTTACTTGATCACTAATGCACTAGAAGTCTCTTAAATATCTCTAAATTTTTACATGACACAAATGCATAATTACAGCTGTGAGGCCTCTCTTGGCCATTCATTATTTTTATTCATTAAAATAGTTTCTATCATGATGATATCCTTTGGGGTTTGGAATCTACTGGGGAATAAAATCTTGAAAAAGTTAAGTTTTCAGAGTCAAATTCATAAGAACAATGTATTAAGAATGGAAAATTAAATCTAGGGTACATAAAATGGACCCAGAAGGCAAACTAGGGAGGAAATGCCCCTTTTGGCATTATTTTCCCATACCTCGCTCCAGCTTTCTTTCATCTTGCATTTATATGCCCCATTGCATCATCATAGTTATCCAGACACTGCACTAAAGCAAGCTGATAGCCCAGTGTGGGTTGCCTAATTATAGTAACCTGAAATTCAGCCACTTGGTAGCCAATTTTCCCCTTATGTAGGAAGGTCTACTAATGATTTGTATCATCATCATTATTAATACCTCAAAGGCAACCCCACCCAGAAATGCTGAGAACTGGTGGGATAGGACATGGGAGGCACCAGTGTGTACCTTTAAATACCTATCATCACAGCACAGGTTCCCCTCTCTGTAGTCAGCTCTGAAGAGTTGTCAGCCTGTTCATTCTCTCTCTTGCACACCAGAGTCTGGTCTTCGTATTTAACTTCTGTTCACCCATCTGGAAGATTCTGGACAGGACCATGAGTGACGACGAGCTGTCTGCCTTGGTGGTGGATAATGGGTCAGGGATGTGCAAGGCAGGCTTTGGCGGTGACGATGCCCCCAGGGCTGTGTTCCCCTCCATGGTGGGGCATCCCCGGCACCAGGGGGTCATGGTAGGCATGGGCCAGAAGGACTGCTATGTGGGGGATGAGGCCCAGAGCAAGAGAGGCATCCTGACCCTGAAGTATCCCATTGAGCATGGAGTGGTCACCAACTGGGACGACATGGAGAAGATCTGGCACCACACCTTCTACAACGAGCTCCGTGTGGCTCCAGATGAGCATCCCATCCTCCTCACTGAGGCACCCCTCAACCCCAAGATCAACCGGGAGAAGATGACTCAGATCATGTTCGAGGCTTTCAACACACCGGCCATGTATGTGGCCATCCAGGCTGTGCTGTCCCTCTATGCCTCAGGCCGGACCACCGGCATCGTGATGGATTCTGGGGATGGGGTCACTCACACTGTGCCCATCTATGAAGGCTATGCCCTGCCTCATGCCATTCTACGTCTGGACCTGGCTGGCAGAGACCTGACCGATTATCTCATGAAGATCCTGACAGAACGAGGTTACAGCTTTACCACCACGGCTGAGCGAGAGATTGTTCGTGATGTCAAAGAGAAGCTCTGTTATGTGGCCCTGGACTTTGAGCAAGAGATGGTCAGCACTGCAGCATCCTCCTCCCTGGAGAGAAGCTACGAGCTTCCCGATGGGCAGGTGATCATCATTGGGAATGAGCGCTTTCGATGTCCAGAAGCCATTTTCCAGCCTTCCTTTCTCGGCATTGAGTCCAGTGGAATCCACGAGACAACCTTCAACTCTATTATGAAGTGTGATGTGGATATTCGCAAGGATCTGTACGCCAACACCGTGCTGTCTGGGGGCAGCACTATGTACCCTGGCATTGCTGACCGGATGCAGAAGGAAATTGTAGCCCTGGCACCCAGCACCATGAAAATCAAGATCATAGCTCCCCCAGAGCGGAAGTATTCCGTTTGGATTGGGGGCTCCATTCTGGCCAGCCTGTCCACATTCCAGCAAATGTGGATCAGTAAGCAGGAGTACGATGAGGCTGGTCCCCCCATCGTCCACAGGAAGTGTTTCTGACTGGGCTTCCATGCTAATGCACTGGCATTGTCCCCAATTCTAGATCATGGCGATAGCACTGCTTTTATCCACTTCCAATTGAGTCAAGGTAAATTTCCACTCTTGCTAGCGTGTAAACTAGCAAACTCATCTCCATCCAAGCATTGTGGGCTCCCGCCCAGCTAATGATATTCGACCTCTATCAACTTCTGGAGAATTCTGATATTCTATTCTATTTTCTTTACCACTAGGGGTCAAAGAAATATAGACTTGCTTAAACGAAAATAAATGACAAGGGGTAAAGTGAGAAATGTCCTTCCAGAACAGATAACTAGAATTTTCAATCTTTAAATACTAGTTCTTGCTTTAAATATTTAACAATAGTAGGTTGTACAACCTGTAAAAAAAGTGTATGTATTTAGCAAACATGCCTTATTAGTTAGAATTTTGGTTTTGTTTTACTTCTTTGTATAGAGACAGTGAATTATATGGGTCAGTGATATTCATATTTATATAAGCACTGAGGAAATAGGATAATCTATCTTAAAATACACTGGTAAATCTGGCTATCTGAAAAGCTATTGTGAATTTCTTAATTCCCCAAAAGTCACCATTTTGGTAACTCCTTATTTTGTTTCCCTTATTAAATAAGCATAATAGAACAGGAGCATTCTATTAATATTGTTTATAAATCAACTGAATTTTTAGCTCAGAGTAGAGTTCAGCTGATCAAGCATGTATTCTAATATCTGACTTATCAAACTTCATTATACTTGTAAAACAGCAAAGCTGTTACAGATAAAGCCTAACTTTTAAAATAGAGAGGAAAATTGTAATATCAAATTAATTAACATCATTATGCTACAGTTTGACAAAATAATTTTATTTCCATTGCTTAACATAATGGCATGTCTCGAGTTATTTCTATAGGTCATGATTTTGAATATTTCTCTTATCAAGGATTTCACTGTGGAAAAACATATCTGCAGCATTTTTGTAAACTACAAATTCTAATACCAGTATAATAATTTCAATTTTATTATTGGAAGATTTTAGAATAATTCTATTTTATTATGTCCAGTAACAGGAAATATCTCTTTATGTGAAGTATCTCTAAGCTATCAATTTCTTACAAAGCACCTATGTGTCTTCCTATGTTCTCTAAACATTTTTAAGGAATTCAGTGGTGATTTTCAACCAATTTTCAGTACTAGCACATTTATTTCAATCTATTCTGTGACTTCTCATTGAGTGAATATCAGAGATATTTATATTTTTCAGGGTTTTTCTCTGAAATTGTAGAATATTTGGGGGGTGGAGTTGCTTATGAAGCCATTATCACAGTCTCAGGAAAAGGAATTTTCTTCTCTTTTCCTTTGGTTTAGGAAGCTTATACTTGTGTTTTAAATGTCTAAATTGGAGTCTTTAAGCTTTCTTTTCCTTAAAAATTTTCAGGGAATTTGACTGTTGCTTATTTTCTTTAATCTGAAAACACAGTTTTTAATTCATTTAACCAAAATTAACCTTCAAAGGCACTTTATTTTACAAGACTTGAGTTTCTTTTCTTCTTTAATTAATTTTAAATAAATGAAAATTAATTCACACCTACCTTTCCTGTTTTTTCTCCTCAATTCTTCCCAAAGAAATGTAGAATGATCCAGAGAGGATCACTTTTTAAAATTTTATTTATTTTTCTAATTGAAGGATAAATGCTTTACAGAATTTTGTTTTCTGCCAAATATCAACATGAATCAGCCATAGGTATATGTATGTCCCCTCCCTCTGAACCTCCCTCCCATCTCCCTCCCCATCTCACCCCTCTAGATTGTCACAGAGCCCCTGTTTGGGTTCCTTAAATCATACAGAAAATTCCTATTGGCTACCTATTTTACATATGGTAATGTAAGTTTCCATGTTACTCTCTCCATACAGAGAGGATCACTTTTTATACGTGTAACCTATTCATTCGTATAATTTTATACCGCATACATTTGACCATGTAAACGTTAAAAGGAAATTAAAATTTTAAAAAAGGAAGAGGGCTAGTAGATAAGGTTATAAATTCCTTGCAGTCTGCATTAAAAAGTTAAGTTTCAGTGGATAAACTGGTCTTCAGATAATTAGTAGGCAGAGTTAATAGTGATAATAATAATAATAGCTTGAATTTATACACTGCAACACTTCCCATTTGCAGAGTGGTTCTCAAAAACATTGACCTACATTCTCAATTATCAGAAAAAACATATCGCCCATTCACAGGAAGTTTCTAGGACACATAAAGTGCACCTCTCAGAGAGAGAACTATTGAGCCCAGGATCATTAGCAGAAAATATGAATTCCATAATGCAAATAAATTTAAGCCTGAGGTCTTTGGATATTCCGTTCATCAACACTGACTGACTGATGGATGAATTCAATGAGGAAACACTCACAATTTTAAGTTTTAGAATCAATGTCATCTTTTCACATGATGTAATTGGCTTGTTATTCACCAGTGGTTCACCAGATGGCACAGTACTGAGAGAGGTTTCACAGATGAATTTCACACCATTGTAAGTGGTTCCCACCCTTTCTTGACGAACCACGCTGAGCAGCAATCTAGGACTGGGGTTGCACCTCAGCCTCCTTAAAACTGTTGTTTACTGACCACAGGTAATATTCTGAAAGTGCACATGATGCAAAGCCAATACCTACACTTCTTCCCTAACTTTCAGATGTGCTTTTTTTTCAACAGTAAGATAAAGTCATGTTAGACCACAGATTGAGCCTTACATTCACAATCCTGTTATAGAGAAGAGACTAGAACTAAGTATTACATTTTCCAGTAATCAAAAGAATAATCTTTTGACATGTCAAGAGCCTTACCACAATGATTCACTCATTTTGCAACTGTAAATTCCATGGGGTTGCAAAGAGTCAGATACAACTCAGGGACTGAACAAAAACAAAGAACAAATGCTAAAATTTACTAGAAAAGTATTTCAAGGACATTAGGGAATTTACAATCCAGTAGTGAGGGAAATTACATAGAGTGGAAAGCAGTATGATCTAATGATGGTTCATAGACTAGACATGGTCCATGGCCCATGATAATTCTAATAATGACAGTTTAAATCTGGGTGATCAAAGGAGGAGATCACCTCCAAAGAATAGATGGAATCACTGAGTTAAGTCTTAAGGCACACAGAAGTTGGACAAAACATAAAAACTTTTCTTAGATGGTTCAGGCACCATTATGATCACTATTTGTTAGGGTTGGTAGGTGGTTAATTCTTATTTTTAATGTCTCCATTGGAACCTGCCAGAAACTGTAAGGAAGTAACATTTAAGGCTCAGCTCAGAGTCTTTTCTAGCCTGCCTTCCTCCTTTTCCAAGGAAAAGTGATAAATTCCTCCCTTGCGTTCCCACTGTATCATTTGCATACGTATAGCATCATCACACCTATAACATGTGTCCACACTCTTCCCACCCTCACCCGACAATGAGCACCTGGAGGACAGAGATGGGGACAGTATTTGTCCACCTTTGAACCATCCAGGATTTTCCTAATGTTAGACACAGATGATTAACCCAATAAATGTGATTTGAATGGATAAATGAGTGAATTCATGGAATCTGATATACATCATGCATGTCACAGTTCTGCATTATCTGTTTTTTACCACTCTATTCTTAGCTCCTGTATTCTAGTGTCTGCCCCTTTCCCTGTGTTGCCTTTCCTCTGAGGCATATTTTTTTCTTTATCCTTCTTTATCTCTTTTCTATTCAGTTCTCCTATGCATTTCAACCTACAGAGCTGAATCTTAAAAGCTTTTGCTCATCAATACAATTTTCCCATTCTTCTAATTAATCAGAGGATCAATCAACCTCATCTTTTGGAGTGTGAGCTAGCTAAGTAGCTGCTGAAATTTTAGCCTAAAAAAAAAAGAGGAGAAGAAGAAAAAGGAAGGAAGAATGGATGAATGAATGAATGAATGAAAGAGAAGTTTTTCAGTGAGTACAATTGTGTATTCAACTCTTCTAATCTATTCACATCCTTGCTGATATTTTTCTCTTTTTTTCTAAACTCCAAATAGCTCTAGAGTTGAGTTTCAGACATCTGACTCCCTAATAACTCAGACATTAGAATATATTGAAAAGTCTACATTTTTGGTAACTAGTCACAGCTTCCTTTCAGGATTTATAAAAGATTCTTTTCAAAATACGGTTTTTGATGTTAGGAACTAAGCATGTGGTTTGGCCAACACTGCTTCCAGATGTTGATAAGTATACTTGGAAAGTCTTTAGGGATATACATGTTCATATCAGTGGAGAACCTGCTCATTAAAATTAATTGATACCTGAAGACTTCTCCTTAAATATGAAGGACCTGTCTGAACTCTGGCATTTTTTTAAAGCTAATACTGTAATTAATAAAAAAACAATAGATAATCCTCAAGCTGCCTGCCTTGTTTTTCAAGTCATTCTAAATCTGCTGTTCTAATCATATTACAGTTTTAGATTCAGTTAAATCTACCCAACAGATGTGCCAATGTGATAGGATGACAGATATTTACCTAGACAACACCCTAACACCACTTGAAAAATGGAAAATCTTATTTAATTGGCTACTTGACAATATGTAAGTCAAAAGCCAAGTTGTTCTCTCTGGGATTGGGAATGAGGCCTTTGTAACTGTATACACACCATACAAAACAGAGTCTGGTAAAAAAGGGAGGGGACGTGATACACAGACACACCAGAAGGACTGAAGTTCCTGCTCACGTCCCTTTCATGGAGGTGTTGCAGTAAGAGAGGTTTTTCATAACTATTTTATAGGTTAGGGGTGAACAGGGAAAGCCAGATGCCAACAAGATATTTTAACTTCACGCTGCTGCTGCTACTGCCGCTAAGTCACTTCAGTCGTGTCCGACTCTGTGCAACCCCATACACAGCAGCCCACCAGGTTCCACCGTCCCCGGGATTCTCCAGGCAAGAACACTGGAGTGGGTTGCCATTTCCTTCTCCAATATGTGAAAGTGAAAAGTGAAAGTGAAGTCATTCAGTCGCGTCCGACTCTTTGCGACCCCATGGACCGCAGCCTATCAGGCTCCTCCATCCGTGGGATTTTCCAGGCAAGAGTGCTGCAGTGGGGTGCCATTGCCTTCTCCGTTCAACTTCATGGCTCCTGCATATTCTTTATGACTCACTCAGAACATCCCCAGATATCATTCCCTGTTCTTTTAATTGATAAATGGTAACTATTCAACATTGTATATTTTTTCCATAGCTGGATCATG